ACACGCTGCAGGAACAGTGCCTGAGGTAAACACACTCCTTCCTCTTACACACACGTTCATGATGTTCAGGGTTCACTCAGGGAAACAGGAAACTCACCAGGCATCAAGCCATCTGGGGGCCAGCACTCTGCGAGGGTTTTCGGGTCCAGCAGGGACTGAAAGACCAGAATCAGAGTTTCAGCTCTGAGAACATAAAAATATTCCTGCTTTCCAGTTTTGATCCTGGATTTAAGCTGAAGGCAGCAACAGTCCTTTGTGGCTGCAGCGCATTCAGTGGAGATGAGGCGACCTGCAGCACCACCTGGTGTCCACCTGCAGAGCTGCTCAGAACTTCAGCTCAGCTGTAACTGAAGCTGTTTCCACACACGACTCAGGTCAGATTATCTTCAGGTTTAAGGTTTGATTTAGAGTCACAGCTGCAGGGAGGAAGGTTCCTGTGAGCTGTGTCAGCTGAAGAACTGAAATAATAAAATCAGAATGAATGAAAATCACACGTGAGCGGCTGCTGGTTTGTGGAAGCCGCCATGTTGCTCTGCTTTGGGCCGTTCAGCCTAATTGTGTTGTTGTACTTCATTACTCCCTGAGGACATGATGTGGTCAGTCTCTCCATGACAACAGCAACAGACTAATACAATAACATGTTACAAATATAAGAAACAGCTCCAATGTAACCTGTAAAACCTTATTTTACCATAGACGACCTCACTGTGTGTTAGATGGATGGTACAGAGATGTCCACAGGAATGATGTCCTGTGTTGTTCAGTGGTGCATTGTGGGTAATCTCAGTCTCTCCCTGAGCGCGCTCCTGTGATTGGCCAGCATGTCATGGAGTGGGTGGGAGGTATTGTGCAGCATTTTCCTTATCTTGGACAACATCCTTCTCCGACACCACCCTAACGGAGTCCAGCTCCATCACCACAACATTACTGGCCTCGTGATCAGTTTATTGAGTCTGTTAGCATCTGTGACCCTCAACCTGCTGTCCCAGCATGCAACAGCACAGAGGACAGAACATCCTGAGTAGGGCTGGGCGATATGGCCTAAAATTGATATCGCGATATAATTTGAAGCACGTGCGGTAACGACATATATCACGATATATTCTTTTCTTCTGTATAACGGATTTTCCACACTTAAAATCCTTTAATTTTCTCAAAAATCGAGTGTGCCTTATGTATGAACTCTGGTTGTGCCTACTGACCTCGAACCGATTTTGGCTACAGAAATCTGTTAAAAATGTTTGGATGGATGGTCAGAGCATTACGGCTG